AGCACAAGCAGGGGGAGCAGCAGAAGGAGAAGGAGACGCAGACTCCCCACTGAGCAGGGGGCTAGATCCCAGGACCCTGGTGAACTGAAGGCAGATGCTTCACCGACTGAGCCACCCAGGCGTCCCTGGGTTTGCTTTTCATAAGGAATCTCAGATTGGACTTATATTTTATTATTATTATTATATTTGCCAGAGAGCACACAAGCAGGGGGAGTGGCAGACAGAGGGAGAAGCAGGCTCCCTGCTGAGGAGGGATCCCGATGCGGGACTCAATCCAAGGTCTGGGATCATGATCTGAGCCAAAGGCAGCTGCTTAACCAACTGAGCCATCCAAGCGTCCCTCAGATTAGACTTTTAAAAGCCACTCAAGGCCAGAAACCAAGCCAAGGACTCACTGTCCTTGCCTGCAATACCTTTGAATTTGAGTGGATTCCTCTCTTCTCAGGGCCCCCAAAATATTCTGAACTTCTCAGGCTGCCAGGAAGTGACCGTCTTTACCCGCTGTAATGCCAGGAACCCAGTAAGCAAGATGCCAGGCAGTTTTCTGAAGGGGCTTTATTGGCTCCATAAAGTCAGCCTTAGTTCCATGAGGCTGTTTGGTCTTGTCTGTGTCTGTTACAAAGAACAGATTATCTGCAAATAAATATATTACTGTGAAAATAAGAATACTTAATAAGCATTTCCAAATTCTGATGAGATGAGGTAAGGAAAAAGATAAATGTTTCAGTTTTGCTTATCTTCATCAATTCGTTTAGTCCCTTGTAATTGATTCTTGTTTTGCTTGATCTTGGCAGTTTTGTGAATTGAGTTTTCCAGTAGAGTTATGGAAATTCTTACCCAGTTCAGTAGTATGATTACTTAAAGTTATCAGAAACCTGTGCATATAAGAGTCCTTTTCTTTTTTTTCTTTTTTAAAAGATTTTTATTTATTTATTTAATTGACACAGAGAGAGAGCATAAGCAGGGTGAACAGCAGGCAGAGGGAGAAGCAGGCTCCTGGCTGAGCAGGGAGTCCGATGTGGGGCTCGATCCCAGGACGCTGGGATCATGACCTGAGCTGAAGGCAGACACTTAACCGACTGAGCCACCCAGGCGCCCTAAAACATCTCCATTTTATGCCACAGAGAGTTGTATGGTGTATGTGGCCATCATTAGGAAGCCCTGCCTCATAGATTGTGGGTTTATTTACTATAAGTAATCCTTAGCCAGGCATTCTACAGAAAAGGACACTTCCCCCTAGCAAATATTACTAGTTTATTTCAGGGGCCAGCAAAAATTTTTCTGTAAATATTTTGTTTTGCGGGCCATAACGTCTCTGATACAACTACTCAACTCTCCCATTGCAGCACAAAAACAGCCATAGACAATACATCAATACATAAATGGGTATAGCTGTATTCCAGGAAAACTTTATTTACAAAAACAGGCAGCTGGCCATTGGGGCCATAGTTTACCAATTCCTGGTCTTTTCAACTGGAGGGCCCGTTGGAAAAAATTAGACATGGTCATTTATCTCCTTTTCCCTGGGAATGTTTCTGTCTGCTCCCTGCCCCCGCCCCCCAACACACACAGAATGAAAGAATTGGAGGCCAGCTGCTTTAACTTCTCCCTCCCCAGCTGCCAGTAATCATAACTTCAAAATAAAAAACACCTTAAACAAGATAGAAATGTATCACACAAAGGAGTCCAGAGGAAGGCATCCTGGGCTGATATGGCAAGCTCCCTGGTTCCCAGAGATGCAGGCTCCTTCCAGCTCACCTTTTCACAGTACTGAGTGCCAGCAAGAGGCATCACATGCCCTGACAGCAGGATTGACGAAGGGTAGAAGAAGAGCTGTCTTCTCTCTTTTTAGGACACTTCCTGGAAGTTCTGCACAAGACTTCCATTTAACATCATTAGTAGTAAGAGAGATTGAGAAAGTGGTTTCTTATGTATACTATGTCATTATCCCCTCAAATGTATTTAAGGTCAACAGCTAACACAACCACAGACTTATTAATAAATCCAAACTTACAAATTATGCAATACAAATTCTTTTCAGTGCTGACATAATCAAATTTTACTAAGTACTTCAGTAAATAAAATAATAAGCCTAATACGGTGTGTTTTTTCCAGATGCGTCAAATACAAAATTATCTCAGTGATCATAAAACTTACTATTTCGGGGTGCCTGGGTGGCTCAGTCGATTAAGTGACCAACTTGTGATTTTGGCTCAGGTCATGATCTCATGGGTCGTGAGATGGAGCCCTGTGTCGGGCTCTGCGCTTAGCGGGCAGTCTGCTTGAAGAATCTCTCCCTCTGCCCCCCTCCACTTATGCACTCTCTCTCTAAAATAAATAAATCTTTTTAAAAACTTAGTATTTCACCTACACTTATTAAAAATTTTTCATTCCAGGGTTGATTAATTTCTCTAGGATGCCAATATTTCTATTTTCCTGAGGTTAGTATACTTGTTCTCATAGCCTCATTAGGTGTCCAGTACTTGTGTCAGACCCTAAAAGAACAGTCTCAGCTCAGCCGAATTTGTAAGTTCTGGGCAGTCATCCTGGAGATTCTTAATGGAATAGGATTTTTCCTTTGAGGGTGATTGGAACATGCCTTAGTTCATAAAGCCAAGCCCCTGTTGGAGTCAAGATTTCCTTACCATGTCAGAGGGACTTTCCAAACCTACACCCTTTCTTCTAACCTAGCACTTCCCCTTTTTTAGTATCCAGGTCCATTGTGTCTTAGTTGTATATTTTCTGCTTTGGTTTACCACTTACTTACAATTAAATGCATCTCCTATAATTGGTGGAGATTCCATCTCCCAGGAGACAAGGACATGAGACTGTAGTTTTCTTTCAGAGATATTCAGTTGGGCAAGACATTTGCCTTCTTTCTGGCTGATTCTTTTCTGTAACCAGGCCTTTCTGTTAAGGGTACGATTCCTGCATTTTCTGGAATTGTTTGGCTTCCTGACAGTTCTCTGCCTGTTGGTGTGGGGGAGAGGGTTAGTGAGGGTTCTTATGGAGACTGTGCTGGACTTTAATAAATCCGCAAATGGCATTTGTCCGTGGGTGTAAATCCACCAAATGTGCATAGATGTTCCTTTCACCTTTCAGCCCACCTGTACCTCACACACTTTGAGGGGACATAAGCGGTAACAGCCCCAGTGCCGAGGGTTGTTCAGGTCTTTGCCTACCCCCCCAGTTCATGTAGGCTATCAAAGCGCTTTTGACTAACAAATGGGAGATTTCTTGCTGAATGTAGGTATCCGTTGTAGACCTGACCTTACAGCTCAGAAAACTACCAGATTGTTTATGCCATGATTGTGTAAACATAATTCTTCCAGTGCAACCTCCCCAAACCTGACCTATACACATCCCTCACTCTGTGTCTACCATGCCCTTTCATAGAGTAAAATACTGTGAGGCAGACATATACTTGTCTGCACTGTTCACTATATGTAACTGCTTAAAAAATTCAACTTACCTGATCATAGCCATCCTTATTTTTGAATTATAGCTATAGTTTTATAATTGTTGAGTTAGTTTTTTCCTTTTTTGAGAATCATTAGGGACTCTTGGCTTTCCATAATGTGGTTAACCATAGTTATCACCCTCTTTTCTGTGTTTAAATTGCATTTGGCCTGTTAGGAGTCTCTTTAGACTGGTTCCTGTCCTTTCAATTCCATCCAGATGGATTTTTAAGTACTTTTGTCTCCAGAGAGACAGTATAACATACTGGTTAAGAGGACAGACTTTGGAGCAGGTTCAAATGCCTGTTTTGCCGCTTACCAGCTGTATGACCTTAGATAAGTTTCTTAACCTCTCTGTGCTTTAATTTCCTCATCTTTAAAAAGAGGATAATAATATCCACCATATAGGGTCATTATGAGCTATAAATGAATGAATGCATATAAAGCACCAAAACAGTATCTGGCCACATAACAAGTACTCAGTAGTGTTGGCTGCTTATTACTATTGTTAATGTTGTTATTATCATTACTTTTATTTTAGCAACAACAAAGTATATCTGTGCCAAGACATAGAGTAGCTACACTATAAAGATTGCTGATTTCTTTTTAGTGGAGAATAGTGCAAAAGACTAGGAAAATACTAGATGTGTTCTCATGGTGGGTAGGATAACCTTGCTGCTGGGCCGTTTCTGTGTCACAGCTGGAAAGTTTTTAATGTTTAATAAGGTTATGAGTTCACAGTGGTATTTTAATTTTCTTTTTTTTAGATTTTATTTATTTATTTGTCAGAGCGCACAAGCAGGGGGAGCGGCAGGCAGAGGGAGAAGCAGGCTCCCCGCTGAGCAGGGAGCCCGATGCGGGGCTCGATCCCAGGACCCTGGGATCATGACCTGAGCCAAAGGCAAACGCTTAACAACTAAGCCACCCACGCATCCCCACAGTGGTATTTTTAGATTTAATGGGCTTTGTGCCTTATATTTTATATTAACATTTTTTTGAGTAGTGTGGAATATATTCATATTGTTGTGAAACTAATCTTCAGAACTTTTTTATCTTGCAAAACTGAAATTCTATACCCATTAAACCTTAATTCCCTATTTTCCTGTCCTTACAACCCCTGGCAACCACCATTCTACTTTCTGTTTCTATGAATTTGACTTACCTCATGTAAGTGGAATCATACATTTTCTCTTTTTGTGACTGGCTTATTTTACTTAGCAAAATGTCCTCAAGTTTTGCCCATGTTGTAGCAGGTGACCGGATTTTTTCATTTTCTTTTTTTTCCCCTCAAAGATTGATATATTTATTTTAGAGAGGGAGAGCAAGTGGGGGAGGGACAGAGAGAGAGGGAGAGGAAGAGAATCTCAAGCACACTCCCCCCTGAGTGCCAAGCCCGGTGCGAGGGGCACTGAGGGAGCACAGAACCAATCCTGCTCCACGTTATGGTTCTGCCAAATAACATTTCACCTTTGAAAAGGCACCTTTTTCATCATGGCACTCTGTCTCCAGGATTCCCAAAGGCGACTGTAGCGACTGGTCACATGTAGCTATTTAAATTTAAATATAAATGCATTAAATAAATTTAAAGATTCAGTTTCTCATTCACAGCGGCCACATTTTGGGTATTCATTGTAAGGTGGCTACTGTATTGGACAGCTCAGAGGTGGGACATTTCTATCACCACAGAAATTTCTCTTGGACAGCCCTGGCTTAGTACATTAAGCTGTTACTGCAATTTGTTGTTATTGGGTGTCTTTCTAGTGACAGTCACTCTAAAGGGGATTGGGTGAGAAATTTGGATTATGATAGAAAATGAGAGCTGCTGATGGGACCATCCCATGGTCCATGGTCCTGTTTTCATGTCTTTAAAGGATTCCAGCACCCTTCAGACTTTGCTCTGGGTCTTCAGATGGGACAGCCTGTGCCATCGAAAAGCTAGAATCCCCAGTGGTCTCTGAAGCTGATGCTAAGGGCAGCCTGGGCCCACTTGAAATCAGTGGCACTCAGGAGGAAGGAGGGGTGTGGATGGCCACTGGGTTCAGCCCAGGGAAGGGGTGTCTGATCTGAGACAGTTTTATCCGACACACGCTGATACCAGCTATTATAGATTTCCACCCCTTCACAAGCACTTGGTCATCTCAGTGTTACACAAATTTAATAGAAACAAATTTTGTCCCCTTTTTTTTTTCTTGTGCAGGCCTATCCCCCTTTGTTCTGTTGTTGTGATAAATAGCCAGCTTGATAAAGTTGAAGGAAGGAAATTGTTTGTTTCCTGTAATGTCCGAAGTGTGGATGAAAAGACCCTATACTCCGAGGCAACAAGTAAGAAACTACCACTATGTCTTTTTTTGGTCTGGTTTAGTTTCTTGGGTTTTGTGTTTGGGGGCTTGGAGTTGTTGGGTTTTGTTTTGGTTTTGATTTTGGTTTGGTTTTATAACCCGCAAATGCCCAGAAATTCTCAATTCCCTATCATGTAAAAAAACAAGTTAAAGGTATTCTTAAACATTACTGGTAGAGAGCTACTTGCCAAAATCTATCAAAACTAGAAAGTCGTGTGCTTTTTCACCTGTTGCCAGGACCTGATCCCACAGGTGTACCAAAGTGTGCAAAATTACAGTGTATGTGTTGCCCTGCTGTCACAGTAAGTGTGTTACTCATGTGAAGCTATTTGGAATAGCAGAAGATTGCCGAAACATAGCTACCCATCAGGAGGAGGCTGGTTGAGCAACCACACTGTGTGTGCCACAAAACATTTTGTGGCATATTATGGTGCCATAAGTAATAAGGACATTCTTTAATTATGGGGCTATCTCATTAATACATATTGAATGAAAAGCACAAGATGCAGGACTGTGAATGTAGTATCATTATCACTAATAGAGAAAATGTAGAGATCTTTGCATTCTCTTCCCCTTTTCTCCCTCTTTCCCTTTTACTCCTTCCTTCCTTCCTGAATAATTTATTCCAAAAGCCATTAGGTAGAGTGGGCATGGTAGGCTTGGGATTGGCCTGGAGGCTGCAGCAAGGTGTAGCTGTGGGGGCCGAGCACCGGGTTGGAGCCTGAGTGGAGTGAAGAGGGTGTCCACACGGGCAAGTAGCTCAGTGCAGGGTGTCAGAGCCTATGCGGGACGGTGGCGTCTACACAGGCTGGCAGCCGAGAGGGGATCCAGGTGCCTTACTGTCAGAGAAGGGATTTCCAGATACGGAAAGAGAAAACTAGAATGAACCCTGTGGTGTTGGGTTGGAATTGGAGATCTTGGACATGAATGTTTTCCTAGTCTCTTGCTCTTAGAAATAACATTGTGAGTAACTTCATATATTGGCATTTTACACACATTTTGGCAAGTTAATCTCCAGTGGTTCCAGAGGAGACCATTCTTTGTACTAGTCTCACAGTTTTTCTGTCAGCTTGACATTTCAAAGTAAAAAGTAATACATGGGGAGGGGGAAATATCTGTATATTCTTGTGTTGCAGACACCTTCAGGAATGTGACACAAACATTGGTTTCCTCTGGGAAGAGGACCAGGTAGGTTGGAGGGAGAGTCCACCGTAGGCCCTTGTGTACCTTGTGACATGATTATGTCAGTGGATTAGCAGGACAGGAGTTAGGTTTTGTGGCACCTAAAGCTTGCACAGTTTAAGAAATTAAAGAAAAAGAATGCAAAATTGGGTACAAATATGCGTTTTTATTTAAAATGAGGAAAGAAACCACAGCATGCTCCTGCTGCTGCTGTCTAGAGATGCAGGGCCCTTCCCTCTGTGCTCCCCATGAGCAGTTTATCAGAAGTACTTCCAGACTGCATCCCTGAGCACTCCCAGCCCCTGCTCTGACGGGGCCTTTGCAAGGGAAGAGCCCTTGAAGCCTTACATTCCGTAGCTTCAGATGTAGACGAGTTAATTTAGATATCCGGTGCTTTTTGTTTGTTTCTATTCTGTTTTATTTTAAGGGACCTCAGATGCCCAGGTTTGGCTTAATCAGAATCTTTGAGTTAGGACACAGTGGGCATCATTGATGCATGAAACAGTCATCTTTTATTTATTCATTCACTGATGTACTTTTCGACTTAAGAAGAAACACCCTGAAGACCTACCATCAGCCAAGAACCAGAATCTTAGTAGCATACCCCTACCTAAATATTTCCCATCTCATCCTCCTGCTTTCCCCTAAAGTTTTTGAAGTATAATTAACATACAATGTTCTATTCACTTATACCTAATTTGTTATTTTCGTAAGTTGTATCAAGAATATATGTGTGTATCTAAGGAATGTACGGTTAATTTTTTTTATT